CTCAAGCCCAAACTTGTCAAAATTATCACTCTAGCCTCCTGCTGGAGACAGAGGTGTTTGTGAGTTGCTCGGCCTTTTGAAACTCTGGGATCAAACTTCATGGTAGCTCAGGCCTAAAGAGTAGGGGAGCAAAAATACGAACGCCTTGAGAGGCATATAGTACAACAGTGATACTTGAGCCCACTGGCCGGGTTCCAGTTTTCATTCTGCTACCTTTTTTTTTTTTTTTTTTTTGAGACGGAGTCTCGCTCTGTCGCCCAGGCTGGAGTGCAGTGGCGCAATCTCGGCTCACTGCAAGCTCCACCTCCTGGGTTCACGCTACTCTCCTGCCTCAGCCTCCCAAGTAGCTGGGACTACAGGCGCCCGCCGCAGCGCCCAGCTAATTTTTTGCATTTTTAGTAGAGACGGGGTTTCACCGTGTTACCCAGGATGGTCTCGATCTCCTGACCTCGTGATCTGCCCGCCTCAGCCTCCCAAAGTGCTGGGATTACAGGTGTGAGCCACCGCGCCCGGCCCGTTGTGCTACTTCTTAGCTGTGTGACCTTGGACACAGTTCTTAATCTCTCTGTGCCTCAATTCATTTCTCTGTAGAGATAATGGTATCAACTTCACAAGTTGTGGTAACAGTGGAAAGAACTGATACATATAAAGTGCTTAGAATGGTGTCTGGCAGGTGGTAAGCGCTCTGTAAATGTTGCTGCTGTTACATCATGACTCTGAAAGGGGGTTTTAGTTAAAATAGATCCCATCTACTACTATAGCTCAAAGTCCAGCTTGCAAAAAAGACTTTGATTCTAGTAACTAAGTGGAAGCCAGTATTTGGACCAGGAAATATCCGCTGCTACCTCCTCGCCAGGGCGCCTTCCTCAGGGTCCAGGGAGGGGATCAGTTGCCCTCCATCTTCCGCCCCACCTGCCCCACCCTTCAGTTACACAGGAATGCTGACTCCTCCAGCCTTGCAATTGCTCCGGGGGATGGAGACAACTTTTTGTGCTGACTGACGAAAGGCTTTCCTAAAGAATAGCTTGGCTTCAGGATCTTGCCTACAGGGAGGTTTTGGTCCCCAAAGGGCAGAGAGACTTCTGTGGCCCCGTATCAATGCCCTGGATATGCCATGAAGATGCCGCAGGATCTAGTTAGGAGAGGAACCAGCAGGAGCCTGGACAGAGGCAGGGGCTGCACGGCGTCCCTAGTTCTGTTCTCTGGGTCAGGACAGGACCTGATGCATGTTTGGAGGAGGAGGTCCAGGATCTGGCTAAGGTGCCTGGGATGGCACCGGGCAACAGGGAAGGGGAGGTCTCTGAGAGTGCCCTGGTGACACTGTAAAGGGTCCTATTAATCTTCCCAATGGGGCAGTGGTGGGAACCCCCACCACTCCTCTGAGGGCTGACCCAGATTATTCAGGGACATATGGAGAACTGACCCAGCAAGCACAGAGTTGAGCTGATTATAGTAGGGACTGAAGAAGGCAGCCACAAAAATGCAAGACAACTGCGGATGTGTCCACGCTTTGAAGAACAAAAGCAAAGAAAATTGGCTCACCAATGAGAATTAACTGATAACAACATACTGAACAGAAATCAAAATCAGTTCTCAGCCAGTTCACTCAGAAAAATGCAGGATCCTGAAGAGGACAGCTGAGCGATGTGAGGCCTTTGAATAGTCAAAACTTCTACCTTAAAACCCTTCTGTAAAGTGAGTTCAGTGCTTGCAGAGATGAAGCGAACACGAAGCCCAGGAGACGTCTTGTCTTCAGGTCACCTGTGCTCCCTGGGCTCCGCAGGGTCCCCTGGAAGCCCCTTCCCTGGTCCCTCACTGGCAGCTGGCAGCTAGCAGCTAGCATGGGGCGGCCTCCTCCCAGGTCCTCTTGGCTGTCACAGTGAAGTGCTGCATTCTTTAGGCTCCCAAACCTTGAGCGCAGACAATTTCAGATTTCGGGTTCAATGTCGGGCAACGCTCGATGTGTCCTGCTCTACCTAGCTCCTCAGGAACATCTCCCCGCCAGCCCATCCCCTAACCCCTAGTGACCACCCAGGTGCATCTCTTTTTGTCAAGAAGAGCTCATTTATCCTTTTTTTTGGCCCTTTACTGTACTTTGGTAGAAGACTGGCAGCCAGAGAAAAAAACTACCCTGGGTCAGGAACAATGCAGCACTGATAAGGAAAGGGTCAACACCACTTGGGTTGTAGCCGAAGACAGATGGTAAACTCAAATGTGGAAGCTGAGGGTTTAACAGAGACTGTTCATAAAGGCACTGAGAGGGCTTAGGAAAACCCACAAAGGAAGACATAGTAGCCAGGGCAATAGGCTGGTCTTGGCCTGCAAGGGCAGGGGACACAGCTTGTAAGAGGGCTGCCGGGCAGGAGTTGCGCCCACCAAAGAAGGCAGCGAATGCCCAGCAGCCCGGCCCAGAGCAGGGAGGCACTCGGGGGGTCAGCGTCTGGACCTGGCTCTCTCCTTCTCTCATCTCCCCTTGGTGTCTTCATTGACAGAATCCCAACGAATCCAGAAGCCCAGGGAGTGTGTTAATGCAGTCCCTGAAGATCAGCCTTTCTGGGTAGAGAGGGCAGAGCAGGCAGAGTGGTTCTGGAGGGGCAGATAGAAAATATCCAGCCCAGGGCCATTTCCCAGAGGCCACAGCTCCTTGGTCTCTAGCCAAGCGCAGCCATTATAGGACGCAACTTCCCTGGCCAATTTCAAAGCTCTGCTTGCTGCTGGGAATGCATGTTTAAACAAAGCCTTTATTCTCTGTTCCAACAGCAGGGCTGGAATTTAAAAAGCTTCATTTTCAAGACTGGTTGCTTTTGATCTGTCTAACCTGGAACTTACATTTTGGAGTCAAATAGAATTATTTAAACAAAGTATTTCAGCGACAAGCACAAAATGTTTTGATTTTTTTTTTTTTTTGGCTGCCCCCCACCCAACCCCCGCAGCAACACACAACATTCCTACTCAAAATGAAAGGACAATTTTGTGGCCGACTCTTAAAATCTCAGCTTCAGTTTCCCTGGGTCTTTGTTTCCTCAACCTGTGCCTTTATCTAGGTTTGCCTGTGTACGGACCCTGGGAGGGGGCTAACTTTACCTCAGACTGGCCTGGAGCAACCAAATATTCTATGAGCAGTGCTTCCCTCCTCTCACTCCGGCTTCCAGCTTTGGCAGAACCATGTGTTGTCATCCTGTCTTCTTTATGAATTATAATTTATTTTCATTTTGCTCCACATATCCCCATTTTCCTTCCTTCTCTGATGTAAGGCCTTCTCTGATATCATCCTCTACTCTCCTCAAATGAATTTGTCCCCAGCTCACCTGCATTTCTCTTTTTTATCATATTTTGCCTGTCTTATCTGTTACTCAAGTTGGAATGTGGATCACTATTTGTATTCCTTGAAAATAACACCTGCTCTGTGCTGTCCTAGACAGGCTATGTCCCACTGGATCACAGCCAAACCCAGCTCCCCACGCTATGGAGCACAGGAGGTATCGCAGTGTTTGTCATTGGTGCCTTTGAGTTGGCCTGTCAGTCATTGAAAGTCAATCTGAAATGGAAGAGCACCATTTTTTCACAGTTCTGAAAGCAAATGGAGGAAGGAAGGCCATATATCCCCAGACCTTAAAGAGGCACATCCTTTGGAATACAAAGCTCAGACATGGCCTGGTTCAAGTGTGTTCTCCACAATGAAGTAACAAAAATACAAATAAGTAATGAAAATGATGTGGAAATTCTCTCTAGAAAGAGTGAGCTAAATTTCTATTAAAATGACACCTATAAATCAAATGAACGTCTTGATGGAGGGGCGTTAATAGAATGCATCATATGGTAGGCTGGGTGGTTGGCCTTGCCTGGTGTGAGGTGGGAAAAGGTGAAGACACGCTAATGTGTTATAAAATGACTTCATCTTTTAGTTAGTGGTTAATTCTGGACCTTTGCTCAAGTTTACTGAGCAGAATCAATCATTTTTAGGGCCAAGAGAAATGTGGATAGTACTCTATTTGACAACAGGATCTTCTAATCCCAAAAGAGTATCGCTGTGAAAGTAAGAGTATTTTGAATATAGAGGATATTTCATTTTCAGGCCCAGAGAATAGGCAGAATCAAAGCCACCATGTTGGTTAGGCTTTTCTGCAAGGAGACAAGCAGCCACCGTGCACTAGGTCCCTGCTTTTCCCCGCCAGAGGTGACAGAACTGAAGCGTACACATCTGCCTTTGAGGCTACTACTAGGGAAGGGAAGGTTTAACTTAGCTAATGAGGCCAGAATTCTCTTCAGGTGGACAGAGCATGCCCTTTAAAGACTGGCTCACTAAACCCTGAGAGAAAGCTTAAAGCTCAGGATATGGTTTATGGGCTTCCGATATGACTGGAACTAGTCATCAAGAAGGGAGAAAGATCTTGAAGCAGCTATGTTAATGCCAATATAAAATACAGACAATTTCCACCAGATATGCCTTGACCAGCAGGTTCCCCCAAGGGAAGCACACTGAAGGTACTAAGAAAATCCTGGCAGAACCACGCGGGGCAACACAGGCCAGTGGTATCTTTGACTCATTCAGAATCACAATAGTGTCTTCTAAACTAATTGTGAGAAGCACATGTACTACTTTTAGTTACCAAGTGGATTTAAATGCAACTAGTATGTGCTCAGCTGGCCAGATGTGGGCCATTTTGGAGACCTGACAATTCCTTGGGGGTTTGGAATGGAACTAGGTTATGTCTTTATGAAGGTAAAAGCAATTGCAAATTCTTTCTTTAGAATTTGCTTGGGAAGCAAAGGAAAGCAGCTATTCACCCAGTTTGACTTCAACTGGCAAAATTAGTTACCCAGGTGGAAAGGAGATGTCTATAATGCGAAGAGAAATGAGGTATGTTCCCCTGTTTCTTGCTTCATGATCTTCCCCAAAGATGTGTGCCTACCATTGCAGCAGTAGACCAAACTTATAATTTGCATAAAGGCTTAGAGGACCTTATTATATTCACCTCTTGTTAACATAAAAATTAATGTGCTGAGTAACATCTGTTTTTTATTGATTTAATCAATACATTGAGAATTTAGCAGCAAGTTAATGGCAAGCAGTTACAAAATCTCCTATCTTTCTACGTTTAAAATAAGTTGTCTTAAACAATCTATAGCAACCTAAAATCTCACAAACACATGTGAATGAAGCACTTCTGCTGTAATACCTATGGCAAGTTTATTAGTAATTTTCTAACAAAGTCTTCTAGTACAAAGTGCACGTATCATTTGGAATCTCCACTACCATATTTGGCCTCTTGTTTTCCCCTATAAATAGCTGTACCTAAACATAAGAATTTGAAGTAAAAATGAGCAAGTGTGCTCACGGCCTTGAATTGCGGGTATCTGCCCCCCTAAAAAACTTTCGTGTACATCTTGAGTTGATTTTCCCTGCAGCCCACAGCCAAGCGTACTGGTGGCTGTCCTTTAATGCCACGTGCAGCTTATGCTGCTTTGGAGATAAGTAGCTTCAATTTTAAGCTGGTACAAACACATGGCGGGGCTCTGCGGAGCTAAAAGGCTACAAGCTCAGCATAGGGCTGTCCTCTTCCCCTCCTACCCCCTCATCAAAGTGCTAACAACAGCAGCTTTGTTTTTGTACCGTCCAGTACTGGAGGAACCTTAGAGTTTCTTTTTGGTTCTGGACAGGGCCCTGGATTTAGCAGGATACTTGGTTGCTGTTCCTTGGCTTGGAGTCACAGGGGTTTTCTCCATTTCTCCCTTGATTTCAGCTGGAAGGAGTTTGTTAGATGTGAAACTTGAACTGCATGTGTCGTAGTTGTCCTTACTGGTCGCAGGAAATTGCTTTTCATAAGCAGTAGACTGCAAATAAAAGGTCTTGATTAATTTTCAGACACAAAGCAATGCACATCAGTTCAAAGATGCAAGGAACTACAAGGCTGTCCAGGATTTTCAAGCGGGAGCACTCTCTAGATACATAGGGTACAAACTAGTCATATTGTAACATTATCATTAAATGCCAAAAGATCCTTTTGCATCTTTAAGAAAACTGAATTGTTCAGTGTTTGGTGTGGAGCAAACTCTACAGGCTCAATTTGGAAACCTCTGCTATCCAAAATGTAAGTAAATGTCTGGTAACATTTGTGCAGGGAAGTCCACTTAGACATAATTGTACCCACTTCATCTTTACAGATTTCTACACAAGCTCTGACATTTGTATGGATACCCTGACAAGTACAACGTAATTATTCTTTCTGGGTATAAAGTGCTACATAAGGCCCACACTCACATCCCCACTATCTTCCCGCATTAATTCCAGAGACTGGTTTCTAATCCCAGTCACACCACTATGGACCTCTTTGAGCCTCTCTGTTCCTTGCCCTTAAGTGGAGGCAAATAATATTTGCACATTTGCCACAAGAGGTTACCATGAGAATGAAGAGAAAGTGTGGCCACAAAAGTACTATGTGAGCTTTAGAGTAGAAAACAAGCAGATGGGGTTTTAAGAGGCAGTTGTATTTTCTCAGGTTGCCTCAATCCACAGTAAAGGAAGAAGTGGTCTTGAATCCTGCTGTCACAAGGGAAGCAGGGTCCGTTTTGACCTTAGGCCTATTTTTAAAGTGATCACTTTTAATTAAGTGAAGCTGAAGCATAGAGTTCTAAAAGAGTAGAGATTGTCTCAGGAGACCTACAAAGCAACACAGGGGCCAAGCCACTGGGGTAGAGAGAGGGAAGCTCTGGTTTACACAGGATGATTGAGGAAAGAGCTCACAAGTTTAACACTCTGGTTACCTGAAAGTCACAGCACACTTGGGTTAAAAATCAGGTTAACAATTTTCAAAGAGTGTGATAAGATGGTGTGTAACACAAAATAAATGCAGTGTTTCCTGGATCATTCAGGTTCTTGTGATGTAATGATGTTTTATATCCAATAGTAGCACTTAATATATGTTTGCCTAGTGAATCCATGACTTCCCAGGGCTGCAGTAAAAGTCTGGGTCCTGTAAGACTTTTGGCATCTATATATTTCAAGAAAGAAAATCTATATATATTTCAAGAAAGAAAATCTACCTGATGTTTGCTTACCGAAGAAAGCCCTTAAAGTGTGCCTCTTCAGAACATCACGTGTGTCTGATTTTATAACCAGCATATGCTAATTCTTGAGTAGGTAATACTTAAAAATCATTTTGCACCTTAAAATTTTAATTTGTATAAAATTTGAAATGTAAAAAGGTCACTTTCTCTAGTTCTTTTTCTCCCCCAAGAAAACCTCTGGGTTGCTTCTGTGTATTCTTTTAAGAGGTAGAAAATATTTAAAATTCTTTAGTATTCCTTCACATAGGTTGTATTTTTATTGAAAACTCCTTATGTTCAGTGATAAGGTGAGGATACAACACCCCTGATGTTAGAGCATTTGGCTGAGAACCAGTTGCTTTGTTTACTACACTGCTGGTCTCTAAAAGATATACACCCTATCTTGAAAATTTCAATTCATAAAATTTAATTACCTTTACATACAAATCCTATTAAAAGGTGAATCTAAGTGTAACTTTCTCTCTTTTGACATTTCTACTTGGATTTTGAGTTATCATCCAAGTTGTTGAGGAAGTAGTTTTCAACATGTCCACTACAACTAACATTCTATCGAGCAGGAATAAAGATTCATTTTCCTTTAATGTACTTAAATTCTTATCTGGCTTAAGGGTTCCATTCTTCTTCACCGCTCCATTTGTTAATGTAGTTGAGTCATTACAGTAGTTTCAGGAGTTGCAGTCACTCCTGAAGAAACACTCAGAAACAGTCTCTGTGAACAGAATTATTGATGATAATTTTTTTCTTTTTCCCAAAAACTCTATAGATGCTGGTATTTTCTTCTTGGATACAGTATCTTAAGATCATTATTAAAGTCTTCTGGCAAAGTGGAAGGAAAAAGAAAACTAAACAATGTTTAGTTGCTTTGGTGTAGAAATATGATATTTCTGTTTCATTTTGTAGTAAGATAAGAAAATGATTTTCCTCAGCCACATTGATTTTTTTGTAAATTTAGTTATTTATTTCTTAAACAGATAGTATATCCCCATGATTTAATATTCACAATGTTCAAAATCTCCTCTTTGACCCATAGTTAACTGAGCTCTGCCCCCCAAAGACAACCAATACTGTCAATTTATAGTGTACACCTTCAGAGAGATTTTATGCATCTTCAAGCAAATATTAGGTGGAACCAAATGGATATGGTTGTCATTCCACTGTCATTTCCATTGGTTGCAGGTCAAAAACAGTCTAATAATGGCAATTTCCTATGGTTCAATCTAATTCATTGATATGGTTTGGCTGTGTCCCCACCCAAGTCTTACTTGAATTGTAGCTCCCATAATCTGGTGTTGTGGGAGGGACCCAGTGGGAGGTAACTGAATCACAGGGGCAGGTTTTTCCTGTGCTGTTCTCGTGATAGTGAATAAGTCTCACGAGATCTGATGGTTTTACAAAGGGCAGTTCCCCTGCACACATTCTCTTGCCTGCTGCCACCTAAAGCATATCTTTGCTCCCCCTTTGCCTTCCACCATGATTGTGAGGCCTCCCCAGCCAGGTGGAACTGTGAGTCCATTAAACCTCTTTTTCTTTATAAATTATCCAGTATGTCTTTATTAGCAGTATGAGAACAGACAAATACACTCATCTATTGACATGCTTTCTTCCCACCTTTCATACAAATAGTAGCCAACTATAAACACTCTTACACCTTGACTTTTTTCAACTAATGATTATTTTGAAGATCATTCCATGTCAATTCATAGAAAGAAAAAGTCCTCATTCTCTTTTTTGGCTATGCAATATTCTCTTGTTTAGAAGTACCATAATTTATTTAACCAGTCCCTTTACAATGAACACTCAGGTTTGTTTCCAATCTTTTGCAAGCACATTTTGCACATGACACTTTGCACGTTCGTAAGTTTTTCTACAGGATATATATTTTAGAAGAGAAATTCTTCGGATAAATGGTACACGGATTTGTAATTTTGAAAGATATCATCATGTTGCCTTCCACTGCAGTTGTACTGATGTATAATCTTACCAGTAGCATATAAGAGTGCCTGTTTTCTTATTTCTTTGTCAATTTGGTTTTAATACATGTTAAAACTAATACAGTCATCCATATTTTAATTGAGCTCCAAAATCAGTTTAATGCTGGCTGCACTGAAACAAATCACAGTATTTGCTCCTTTACAACCTGGTAACATCAATTCAAATCTACTTGCCTTTATGCAAATATATATATATATTTTTGAGATGGAGTTTGCTCTTGTCACCCAAGCTGGAGGGCAATGACACAATCTCGGCTCACTGCAACCTCCACCTCCCGGGTTCAAGTGATTCTCCTACCTCAGTCTCCTGATAGCTGGAATCACAGGCACGTGCCACCATGCCCAGCTAATTTTTGTATTTTTAGTAGAGGCAGGGTTTCACTATGTTGGCCAAGATCATCTCAATATGCAAATGTTTATGCTTCTGTGTATATGGGTTTGTCTTATAAAATACTGTATGTGTATGTGTGCCTCACCATTTCTCTTTACTAAATTCCAGTTGCATGAAGTTTAGGATGCCATTGTTTAGGAAGCAGTATCCTAATAGTTTTTCTAGAAGAGTCTGAGACTCCCCTCAAATATCCTTCATTGAAACCATTCCTCTGATGCTAATGGAACACGAATGCACAATGGCCACCATGGTGACCTCCAGGCCAGGCCATAGTTTTCTTCACAAAGAGCCAAGCCTCTCAGTTCCTGGAGTGGGCAAGGCAAATTCCAGCTTCCAAGTTTTATCTAGAAACATGAACAAATCTTAATTTTTCAGTGATTTATTTTGTTGGGTTATAGGTTATCTAAGTTTTGCGTTTCTCCTTTTCTTCTCTCATAGCTGGTGGGATTCCTCAGGGATCTATGCTGTCACTGATGCAATTTTATAGTTTTGTAAGTAATAGAACAGAGAAATGAAAAATGAAATTGCCAAGGCTATAAGATCTTCCAGGTCAGGAAAAGCAAATAGAAGGTGATGAGCTCCCATAAGATTGTACAAAGGGGGAGAAAGATAACAGAGGTATTTCAATACTTAGTTCTTAGGGGAAAGATTCTAAATGATCATTATGAGACTGTTGGGCATATATTTACCAATCCAAGAGAAGACCTAAAAGTCACTATAGGCTGTTCTTTGAAGATACTGGTCTAATGTACCATGGCACACTGGTCAGAAAAACCTAGCTATCATCAGAAAGCATTTTAGAAATCAAAGAAACAAATTTCTATCCTTTTAAAAAATCATGATGAATTCGTACCTGAAACACTGCAACCAGCTTGAACAGATATAAAGGGACCAGAGAATGTTTACAGACAGGCTACTAATATGATTAAGGAATGAAGGTTTCTTTTTTAAGAGTGCTCTTCAATCTAAAAGATAAAGAATAAGAGGCTATATATAATCAAAATCTATAAAATGAAGGAGGAGGCATATTTCAGCACTGTGGAGGTGGACAGCATCTCTGAGTGCTGCAGTCAGTCAGGACGGTTACATCAAGGGCTGCCTCAAGCAGCATTTCAATTGTTCTTCATCTCTGGCAAATTCTTACCATTTGGGACAGTTGAAGAACAGTCAGTTCTATTCGAGGCAGAATGATGGAAAAGATGACCTTACAAGCATTCCTCCAGTTTCACCTTTTTGTAATTCAGTACCCTTGGCCTAATTTCTCTAGCTCATATTATTAATCTTGAAAAGGGGGCTCCATGTGTGCAAGGGGAGATATGTAACAAGAAAATTGGACTAACTATACATATTTCATTATTCACTGGCATGGCTTTAACCTGATGAAC